AAAGAACAGGACAGGAGTGTTTGGGAGTGGGATAAAGATTGGGTATTTGGCAGCAGGATACAGAAGAAGTGTTAGGGAGCAGGATTCATAAAGGGTGTTTGGGAGCTGTATACTGAAGGGATGTTTGGGAGAGGGATACTGAAGAAGTGTTTGGGTGTGAGATACTAAAGAAGTTTTTCATAGCGTGATGCTGAAGGTGTGTTGCAGAGCGGGATACTGAATGGGTGTTTGGGAGCGGGATACAGAAGGAGAATTTGGGAGCTATATACTAAAGGGTGTTTGGGAGCGGGATGCTGAAGGTGTGTTGAGGAGCGGGATACTGAATGGGTGTTTGGGAGCGGGATACAGAAGGAGAGTTTGGGAGCAATATACTAAAGGGTGTTTGGGAGCGGGATGCTGAAGGTGTGTTGAGGAGCGGGATACTGAATGGGTGTTTGGGAGCGGGATACAGAAGGAGAGTTTGGGAGCAGAATGCAGAAAGGGTGTTTTGGGGCAGGATACAGAAGGAGAGTTTGGGAGCGGAATGCAGAACGGGTGTTTTGTGGCAGGATACAGAAGGAGAGTTTGGGAGCGGAATGCAGAAAGGGTGTTTTGGGGCAGGATACAGAAGGAGAGTTTGGGAGCAGAATGCAGAAACGGTGTTTTGGGGCAGGATACAGAAGGAGAGTTTGGAAGAGGAATGCAGAAAGGGTGTTTGGGAGCGGGATACTAAGGGGTGTTTTTGGGCAGGATACTGAAGGGGTGTTTGGGAGCGGAATGCAGAAAGGGTGTTTGGGAACAGGATACTGAAAGGGTGTTTGGGAGCAGGATACTGAATGGGTGTTTGGGAGTGGGATACAGAAGGGGTGTTTGGAAGCAGGTTACTGAAAGGTGTGTTTGGGAGCGGGATACTAAGGGGTGTTTTTGGGCAGGATACTGAAGGGGTGTTTGGGAGCGGGATACTGAAGAGGTGTTTTGGGGCAGGATACTAAAGGGGTGTTTGGTAGCGGGATACTGAAGGAATGTTTGGGAGCGGGATACTGAATGGGTGTTTGGGAGCGGGATACAGAAGGGGCTATGGCGTAGACGAGATGAGCCAAACTGGAGCCCAGACAATAGCAAGCAGTGATTGATTACCACTGCTGACCCGCCAACCAGAGGGCGTCGTGGAATAGGGGTCGAAACGGCCGATGATGGTTGGAATCCACCTGACGATGCTGACAACAGAAGGCTCCAGAGCTCCATGTCATCAGTGCCTAACCGCAGTAGCGGTTGGGTTACCATTAGCAGAGAAATATGTAAGTTCACAATACCTGAGACTGAGAGGTGTTAGTAGAAATGAATTTAAAACTATGGACAACCAACATGACAGAAACAAAATGTAACTTCGAGCTTGATACATCAACTATAAGAAACGAACAAGTACGGAAAATCAGGAAAAATTGCAAGCATAATATTCAGATATAATCTTTTATCTTTATGTTTTTATATAGCCAACATAATTAATCTTGATACGCAATGGAAAATAAGAGGAATACAACTATTTTGCCAGTCCATAATGATAATGAATGATACTTTCTTAATTAATAACTAAATCATAATCCAAACTCAGATTCAATAACATGTACCAAGGTACTTGGAATATAAGGCCATGTGTTTCGAAAGAGTGAGCGTCCTCTGCTTCATCAACGACAACCGCCATGTAAACCTTTATCAATCCGAGTAGTAATGTAACGTTCTCAAAACAGAACAAGGTATGCAACAAAGCCATCAGGCACACTAACGAACATCTAACATGCCCAGCTTCATATAGCACAAAGACCTGGTCTTATTCTCCTTATATATTCTAGGTCTTTTTTGTTCATATTTCGCCGTAGTTTCATTGATTTTAAGTTCAAATAAACATCAACATGTTTTTGTTATTTTTCTTTTTCAATTTTTTGATGTTATGTGATATTCGATATTCATTGATGACAATGGATATCAGAATTTGTCTATTGGAGAAAAAAAAATGTCGAAAAAAGGAGACAACTCTAGGTTAGCTCAGAGTTGTAGAATTTGACCAAATTTGGCCTTAAGGGTTCCGTATCCATTTCTATTTTTTATACATCTCATTTCTTCATCAACTCTATGAATTGTTCATCTAATCGAAGGGCAAGAAACATTTTAAAATCAATCTGTTTCATCACTAATTTAGATTTTGATATCCAAGTCCATCATTTCAGGAATTGTAACAACGACTGATTGTATATTTTTCATTCTCTGGCCGATAAAAAGACACGTGATTATGCATGATTTTAACGATCTAGTTTATCATGTAAAAGTATCGTAAATTGATACAGGATAATAGAAATATTTTTAGAAATAATTTTGTACAATGATTCCAATTAATTCGTGACAAAGTTTATGTTTTCTGTCATGAATAAATTAGAAAACACCAGCTAAATCATTGAAATTAATATTCCCTGTAACGAAGTATTCACTTGTTACTTGGTATTGTAAATAAAAATCAATATTTATTTATTCGTGTATTTATTGTAAAGCTTTTAAAAAAATCAATATGAAATTAATATTGTAAAGGTGATCATAACTTGTTACTAGACAGTAATTGTCTGTAAACGTGACATCTCTGGATATAAGATAATCTGAAAGAATATGGACAAAATCTGTTTCTGTAATGGGATGGATACCAGTTAAAATTGGCGACTGATATCCATAAGATATCTCCAAAACATGGAAACGCGGACTGACAAGAAAATGATCTACATACAATTATTCACCGTAAAAGACAAACCATTGCTAACATGAATATTTTCTGTAAAGGTATTGTAAACTGATACCAAATAACAAATATAGAAAGTGTAATGCTGCAACTGGGTTTCCACCCCAATATCTGACTCTTGTTGTTATTTATAAAATCAATAACACCGATGTTCTGCTTTATAAGCATCAAATATAGAAACATACTTTCAGTGTCCTCCACACGAACCAGCAACAAAGACAAGTGATTAACAACCTACACAAAATCATACACGGCGCTATTTCCGTTATAAAGAAGATCTCCCCATCCTTTTATCCCGAGACAACAAACATACACACGAGAATACACACCAAAAGCACGCTAGTAAACCCCAGGCTCGAAAACACTCTGTCTTCCCATAACAATCTTAGTTTTCAACGCTTTTTTTTTTTACATTTGACACATTCCTCACACCACATCAACTGCTTCTTTTAAAGTAAGACCTATTCTTACGATACTAGTCTCTCCTGTCTCTATTCTAGCACTATCTAAACATATCCTCCAAGTCATGTCGGTTTGTCTCAGAAGAACGAACCAGCCACATGTTTAATTCATCGTTAGACTTTACTGTATCTAACTCTAAATTTGTATTAAATGGTGCTGTTTACTTGTGTATTTGTTATATAATATTTGTCATGTAGATAATGATGTACATGTAGATCGACATCAAGAAGAAGAAAAAGCTTAAACGATGAGTAACAGCAGAAAATAATAAGATTTTCTACAAATTGATATTAGAACATAGACACCAGAAAATCAAGATACGTAATGTTTTGTCTACATCTGAAATTTAAACGGATACTAGAAAATTCTAAGAAAACAATTTTCGCCGTTTATCGAAATCGTAAGTGACTCAATCAAATCAATGTGTAACTTTTTTACCTAAAACGTAAATTGATATTAGAACTATCTCTGTATATAACCTTTTCGGCACCTGAAACATCATTATTAGAAATATCATTATGTATAATCTTTTTCTTCGCCTGTAATGTAAATTGATTTAAAAATCTATATTTAAAAATTTTCTATTCCTGAAATGTAAGTTAATACAAAAAACACTATTTAACTTTTTCGGCAAAATTTTCTAGAAAATATTTTTTTTCTATACCCGATATGTAAATTGATACTAGAAAATCTTCTACAGAATAAACACTGTGTAATAGAATATTTAATTACTACGAGATATTCTTAATGTTATTTTAAGTGAAGCCATAATAATTGATAGTGCGTTAGATGTATAAGCTGTACATTTTATCTTTATATCAATCATAATTTATGATATTATTCATAATTTAATTTAACACAGTCAAATAATAAGGTACTTATGCACTAACCATATACCCTATTTGATATATTGTTTCGGTCAGCACGGTCGCCATGCTACAGTACCAATAGCAATGATTAGACGAGCTTTAAATTATTTGAATCAAATTAAATGAAAATCGTAAGAAAATAACGATGTTGATACCTCCGAGTCATAATTTGGAAATTTGAATTAAAAAAAGATGACTCCTATGTTCTGTATCAATAGCCTTTCTAGGTCGTGAAATTTTGTAACTTTTAATCTTTAACTTATCGAAAGGCTTTTAGTCACACAGTTTAGTGCTTTCATGTAATCCTGTTTCCTTCTAGTTATCAAACGATTGTCAATTTACGGAGCCCGTTAACTGACATGCTCCATACTTATTTTATTTCGTTTTTTCGAAATAATAATTCATTTTTCCAAATATTATTTCGAAAAAACGAAATAATATTTCGATCGAAAAAACGAAATATTATCTCGAAAAAACGAATTATTATTTCGAAAAAACGAAATAATATTTCGAAAAAACGAATTAATATTTCGAAAAAACGAAATAAAATATTATTTCGAAAAAACGAAATAATATTTCGAAAAAACGAATTAATATTTCGAAAAAACAAAATAATATTTCGTTTAAACGAATTATTATTTCGAAAAAACATTTCGAAAAAACGAAATAAAATAAGTATGGAGCATGCCAGTTAACGGGCTCCGTATTAACGGGCTCCTTATCAATTGGATCAGCGTTCACATTTTTTCGATATTCCGTATGCTATTTGCCTAATTTGATTCGAAATTTTTAGTTCGGTATCATTATACGAAAGAGAAATATGTCAGGTTACAAATTTCAACGCAATTTTGATGTAACTATTAATACATCATTTGTGTTGTACGAAGAGTTTAGATAGAATCAAAACACTACAATTCCACTGCTTTTGCTAACTCCTGCAGATAACCAACGCACTCCGTCGCCTTCTTCGGATCGTTGTGTAATCTCATCAGAGCTTCCGGTTCCATAGAACGTTTCTGCAGCCCTTGGGTGAATCTGACCTGTTGATTCACTGGGCGGCCTTGGCGAATCGCTGCCTCGTGTTGATCACATTCTTTTTGAACATCATCTATTATCTTAAAAACCCTTGCTTCTAGAGTCCGGTCATCTAATAGGTGTATTGTCTCCAGAATGAAGTCAACTGAAAATAAATCTTCAACTTGAAAGCAGTTCTCGCCAGATGGCACGAAATTTTGTCCAATTTAATATTAAGTCGAATGAATTCAAATACTTACATTTAGAAAAGGTTCACTATTGTTAAGATTGCGAGAAATTGATTTCCCATGAATATTGTTTACTTGTATTACAATCAATTTCAAAAGACACACACACACACACCCTCACAAACATACACACACACACACACTCACACACACACACTCACACACTCACACACACACACACACACACACACACACACACACACACACACACACACACACACACACATATATATATATATATATATACACACACTTAATATTGTTAAATTGTCTTACGAAATTTATCTAATTATGGCGCTTCTGCACCTCCCCGTCTAGATTTCGGCTTTTCTTTTTATCACTTTGGATTTTCTTGGTCGCCTCCTAGGCTTGAAAATGCAGGCGCTTAGCATCACTGACGAGTCCTAGAAGGACGAAACAGCTGTATGATACAGTTTAATTTATTGTTTGACTCTACTGTATCTCACTCTAACTTATTAAAATGTGCTGTTCCCTTGTATGTTTTTTTGTAGAATCGATACTCACATATCGTGTCTTGGCGTGACTGCATTTTGTAAAGTTTCATAAGAAAATCATTTGCGTGCTGCAAGGATTTTCGTCGCCTTTTTCCAAGTTGTAAAAGACGAAAGATGCTTTGCCTTTGTTCTTTACCGAGCATCTTTGATATTCGTTCCGTTGCTTTTGTTACTGAAATACAGAAACGTATTCTTTTCTTGTTAAAAAACAGTTGAAGGGAAAATGATATTTGTATTTATTACTAAGTCGTCCATTGGATGTCTAATTATCAATTTGTATTTGATAATAATACTAATAATTGGCTCTATTTATTCTTGATAACATATTGAGCAATATGCTCGCCTTACAAATGGTCAAGAAGATGATATACAATATTTACCAATACAATTACAAAAAGCATATCACAGGCAAGTAACATTTCTGACATCGTTTGGTAAAGGATTCCATGTAACAGCTCGTTGGTAATTAAAAGAATTCTAAAAATATTTTTGCGAGATGGCAAGTAAAAAAACATTTGAAGAGGAAGATATTGCTGATCTACATCAGACAAATTAATGAAGCAATTCAAACTTTGTGGAGTTTATTATTGAGCACCTTGCTCATCAATACATCTTGACTGTATAAACATCGTTTACAAAAAAGGCAATTAATTTAGGCGCTTAAACATATCACATGAATGTGTAAAGAAATCATAGTTTGAAAAAAGTCTTGCTGCTCTCTTCTGTTCTAGTTTTACAACATCCTTTTTGGCACTGTTGCCTCAGACAGTGGAGCAGTAATCAAAGTGTGGGTTTATAAAACAATTATAAAACGTCATACACGATCACTGACTTATAAATTGTCTCAACTTTTTCACCTGAATAATTGACATATCTTTTTACAAATATTGACACAGAGATGGTCCCAGGAGAGACAGCTATCGCCACTTCAAGTAGGTCTTCATTATTTACATTTCAATACTTACATCACCAATAACAACAGATAAATCATCCGGTAACCTACATTTTCTCTGTGAAGTAGTTACAATCATTTCTTTGTTTGTTTTTTTTTTCTGTTTTTTTTTAAACACATTTTGTTGACTTAAAACCATTTTGATATAAACTTGGCACCATCATTAAGGTTAAGGTTCACAATGTCCAGTGACTTTGCAATGCTCTGTGCTGCAGTATCGTCTGCATATATATACAAATTGTTGTAACTGAAAGGTGTTGATAACTTGTGTTCACATTTGTACAATCTTCCAGATTATAGGTACTAATTGAATAATGATAAAATTATGAAAATTATTGGAATTTGAGATTTTTGATCTCCCCATCAAATTGTGAAATTTCTTTCGATCAATTTTGACTTTCCCCTGCCACTTTTAGATTTCAAAAATATACTTTTATCATCAATAACGAGTCCTTAAAGAAGGGACGAAGCAACTATATATATTATTATTTGCTAATTCTACATTTATATTGAAAGGTACCATTCATTTTCATCTTTTTTACAATCTGTTGGTAGTATTATAAACACCTACCTGCTCTGGTTTCATATAACGTGTTGGTGTGTACTGGTGCTGTAGTCCGTCGTACTTCAGCTGTTGGAACGCTGAAACCGATTTCTATCGTTTCTGTCATCTGCTGCACGACCGCCCCGCCCATTTTCAGATGGGAGTTGTGATGTACTCCTTGAACATTAGCCATCATCACATTCCGTAGCATTTCGAGCTCGTTCCTTCCGAAAGCAATCATCAGATTCAGACTTTTTTCACGTTGTTTCCAAATTTCCCTCTCAGTTTTGCAAGCCACTAACTCTTTTGCCTCTAATAGTATCTCAATGGTATCCATTTCCCCTGGAAACTTTTCCTGGAACTGTTGAAGGCAGTGTTTGAAGTACACAAAGGCGCTCTTGCTTACCAAAGAGTCGACGAGACGGGTAACTGGGCGATGGTTGTGCAAGAGTGTCAGACAGGCCATCATAGCTTGGTCTTTGCTTCTTTGCATATATTTTTCATTTTCCTTTGCTATTCGAAGTTCTTCTGTGCGCTCCACGAGACAGGATTGTGCTTTATCTATCTGTAATTTAAGCTTCTCGTTTTCTTGAAAGAGTTTAGCAACTTCTTTCTTCTCGGAAATTGCAGTAGACCTCTGTTCTTCTCCTGTAAACATTTAATTGCAAACCTAGATCTTGAAACATAAACAAATACCGTTTATTTGTCTTTCTCCGCTGATGCTTTAGGAGATAGAGAGAGATTAATCAAGCACATAGCGTCAACGCTTAGATTGAAGTTTGTATATGTATGATTAATATTTTGCTGAAATAGAGGAGCATATCTCCATAAGTTTTAAGTGTTATTCGTGCGCGTAATGGTAAATATGTTTAACATATACTGCCAACGATTAAAAGAAAACTTTTAAGATTTTTCTACTCGTGAATTTTCTGTTTGTTTCGCTTACCGACGATTGATATAGTGTCATCATCTAACAAGATATAATCAACTTTCATTGCTAAAAAGATGTTTTTGTCCATGTCTGTTAAAGTATGGAGAACATTGACAGCTGCTGCAGGGACCATGAATGTGAGTATGCTGCTGTTTGAAGGACTGTGACCAGCAAGAATGACTTCCGTTTGTTTAACACACAACAATGCAGCCACATGTCCTCGGAGATTTTCCATCTGTTGCCTGTTGTCTTCAGAACCTCGAACATGGAATTTCACGTACCTGTATCCGTTTGCTTAAAAGGTAATAATACGTTATTTTGTAATTTCATTTATTTCAAGTGTAATTTGCAATGCAAATAAGTATGAATGTGACACCTAACAACACAAATGGATTTTCCTTTTTGCATGCTGATGTTACGTTCTCACGAAGTAAATGAAATAAGACTCGGTCAGTATGGTCATATACAAATTCTGTTACTACATTTTTCACAATGTACCGTTATGTTGGAAATGTTGGCCAATGCAAACTATTGCTTTCCAGATAAGATTAAATTTCTTTAAGACAATATTCTTCTTGGTGACATTGAATACGTCTTCCTCATGAATGTTTAAACATCATGTAAAATTTGTCCAGTAAATAGTTTATAATTCAACGAAAAGCTTTAGTTGTAGCAAATTGTCAAACATGTGATATTACTACCTGGTTTTTCTTTTGGTGTAAAGAAATGCAATGGCTCTTTTCGGCATTCCTGTGCGTATAAAACCATTTCCTGGTGAAGATCTCTCCTGCCAATATGCCAAAGCATAGCTTGTAACAGAAGAAGGTTGTTGCTGTTTAGGAATGTCATATCTCTGAGCAACTGGAAAAACGACGCTGCTGTTTTTGCTTTGTTTAACGCCGATCTGCCCAAATCACCTTCTGAAAATGAAGCACAAGCCATTTTCAATTAAAATTGTCATATGCAACATAAAACACAGGTAATACACACTAAAATATGAAATTGTCATGCGAGTACATTACGGTCTTTTAACTACACACACTATGAATCTTTTGATAAATAAGATTAAATAGCCATAGACAGATTTATGACAATCTACATGCTATTACTGTACATCAAAATTATATTTAGATAAGCATTGTATAAAGGGGATGGTTTCCTGTTAAATATCAGAGGGCTGAAGTTTAAATATTACGAATTTAACAAAATACTTAAAAACCAACGGACACACCTGCACAAAAATTTTTCATTCTGGCAATTTCCTCGTCACTGATTGATTGGCTGATTTTATCTAGAAACACGTTGAATTTCCACACAGGTGTGATCATACGTTCATCCTCAGTGTTTTCGTCATGATCGTAAGATATTTCCTTGGTTTCCATAGCTTGTTTTCAAAATATAGATTAGACAAGACAATATTTATTTGCATTAAATTACATCAATTCTTCTTATTTCAAAACATGGTTTTCAAACGTATTCGTGTCTTTCCGCAATTATTTCTTCTTAATGATCAAATTAATTTTCATGATTAATCTTTATCATACACGGATATTCATAAATGGAAAATTCGACTTAGAGATATATCTATTTTGTAATGTAGTTGGGTATAAATATATATATATGACGTGTGTGTTTGTGTGTTTACAAGCTCGATATATTTCAAGTCTGTGTGCAGTAAGCTGAGTGCATAATATCTATGTTAAATGTGAAATATTCTTCTTTATCGTATGTGTGGTATGAAAGAAATTAATGTACGAATAAGTTTGTTTGTCGGAATGAGAGCCATCTTGTATCATGTGAGGACAAAATTTGCAATGTTTATATTTTAGTGTTTTGACTTAAATTCTTTTCATCAGGGAAAAGATTTTCAGTAATTACCTTGATGGTACAAAACACATGTTTTCAAAACTTGTCAAACCTCTCTACAATGTCAATTCTAGATATTATTATTCCATTTTGAAAGATTGAAATTTTTTTTCTGAAAGTCATATAAATGAGTGTTTCAATGAATCAATACATTTTTAATAGTATACATACATAAAACATATAATAACAAAGGTTAATCCTGAAAACATCTTTAATATTTGGTTAAAGGTGTGAGAAGCATGGTCAATAATGAGGAAAGATTCTAATGATGAGTTTGGTCCGCGACATTTGCCTTACCAGCACACGGCACGTTTTAATAACTTGGATTAGTGTCACGGTTCAGAGTATACACGTTCCTGACGTTCTTTTGTTTTCATTCTATATCGAAAATTATAATTTTCGCCGAATCATAGATTAAATATATACAAATGTATTTCTTTTTATCCATTTATTCCACTTAAGACGCCTTACTTCACTGGTGAGTCCTGGAAAGACGCAACATCTTATTAAGAAAAAAATCAATTCTCACGCCGAAAAACAAACAAATGGCAAATCATTTCTTTCCATGAGAGACCCATTTGGAACGATAAGGTCTTCAATTAAAGAACTATAATTACATGACGCAACCAGAAGAATACGTCATCATTCTTATTTAGACTTACTTAATTGATTGATGATTAATTGATTGATTGATTAAAGTTTTCTCGTTAAATAAAATAAATATATGTCATTTGAAGTCGAGAGAAAAACCAAATTCAGACTAAAACTTTCAATTTACAATACAAAGTCCAAAAAAGAATGGCAAAAACAGACATCAGCTTTGTAGTCTGAAGCATCTGCAGACAAGGTCATTTCGATGGAGTTTTGTTCGTAACAGTATTGTTAGCGTAAATATAGTTAATTTCTTATACACAATCGATTTGGTAACTAGTCATCAAAGTGCGTATAATCATACAACGACAGCTGTACGTGTTTTTAATAGCTACATTTAAATGGATTAAACGGTTGTAACGGCGGAGTTTCACAGAGAACAGATATCGAGTTACAATGGTCAAAGTTTACAGTGTAGTGAAGATTTCCTATGCCGTCATCGAAAGGCAAAACAAAAAGACCAGAAACACACGTTACCTACATAGATAGTGTGCGCTATTGATTTCTGTGATATTTCAATATCATCACAAAGCAGGTATTAGTTACTCAAAATAATATCTGTTTTACCTTGGAATGATTTGCTTTTTACTTGATATAACGGAATTTATTTACTTGATGAGTTTCTTCCAGAAAATATTTGAATAGTCTTAACCGGATATTGGGTACACATTACATAATTGATCAGAGGATATAATGTATGTTTGGTTAGGATATGATACTATGATATATGGTTTCATGAAAACTATACCGTAACACACCTTACTTCAGAAAGGTGTGGCTTTACTGAAAGGATCGTTTAACAGAACTATGTTTAGGTAAAGTTTGAAATCTAAATATCCATTTTTGAGTTTTACAATCATGATCACGAAAACACAAATTTATTACTGGATACCTTACCATGTTATCTTTCTGATGTCTGTGTTTTAGATCCAACACTTTACATCCGTGTTTAAATGATACGTTTCAAGATGGCGACGGCTTAAATGCGCATGACAATTCATTTTCCGTGTCAAATAACCATATATGTTACGTCATAAGTGCATATACTTACCATAAGATCTAAAATTAAACAAATCCCTACACACGAAAGATATGAAAATATACCCTGTTTATATTCCCCGTATCTCCGAAGCTCTTTATTCCACAAGCAATTGTGAAGTTTAAAGTTTAACAAAATAGTTAACATCTATTCAGCCATGTCCTGGCGCCTTTTGCATCTAGCTGGTTTTAGTTGAAATCATATCATCCTTTTGAAACTGATGCTTAGTGCATCATGAATGAATGTTGCCATATTATTCGCTTCATCAACTTCAGTAAGCTTTTTCAACAGAACAGTTGTATCTCACAAATGTAAAACTTTTGAATAATATCGAAAGTGGTCATACATGAAGAATATACGAAATTATGTTAATTGTCTTAAAGTAAGATCAAATTCAAAAGTAGTTTTTAGTCTTGAAATTAAAAAAGTTTGATTACACTATAAAACGACAAATAAATGGTACGGTCGATGAAAGCATTGAATAACACATTAAATTTATCTTTATGTGTCCTGTCTGTAAGATTAACTCGACGATATAACTTAGATAGGGCAGACAACGTATGGTTTTATTGTTATCCTTTCAGTAAATACATAAAAAAAATATCTGAAATATACATTTGACTCACAAATGAAAGATTTCAACAAAAAAAGAAACATCTATATTTGGCACTATGAACACTGTGGTTATTTGATACACAGTTTACCATACATGAAGTCAATATTATACAGAATGTTATTAATTAAATCAAATATAAATATTCAAAAAAACAATTAAATCCTATTATGACAAAAACATGGTTATAAATGTAAACGAATATTTGTTCATTTTCACTTTCACAATGATTCTGAGAATCTGCGTCATCACGTTCACGTGACATGATCCTATTGTTTGCAAAGCTAATGCTCTTTATTGATTTAGTGACATTTAAACGCAAGCAACGATCAAATCGTCAGAAACACATTTACTATGTAAAATATGTCATTTCGTCGTATCGGAAATCTCGTATTATGTAATAGTTACCTGCATAAGATTATATGACTTGTAAATTTTCATCTAATTTTGTCTACTTAAAATATATTTAAGTTTATGAAGGACACTAACCTATTTTGATACATTTTTACATATGCTATCAATATGAATGGACCAAGTCGTTATTTATTTTAGTTTAAATTTTCGAATGCAATAGAGTTCCTGGAGAATTTCTATGGTAGTCAGATCGCATGACCACGTAAATTCGGAAGGTCATAGAGTTCATGTAAAGATTTCTTCTAAGTAAGAAAAAGGTTAATGTGTGTAGTGATCATGTAGCTTATAAAAACTGTATACCATATATGTATCTTATGCTATAATGAATAACGATTTAGTTAAGTGAATATGAAACAACTAAAATCAAATATGAAAATATATCTTCTTTTAACATTTTTCTTCTCTCTCATGCTACCCAATGGTGATCGGTCTGTTTGTTTGATTACAAGATTAGATTAGATTGGTTTTAGTTCATTAATACTTCATTTTTCTACATCGAAATGACACATATCTTTATAATAATAAATAATAATATATCTAATAATAAAAACACTCCCATATCCATTTTGTGTTCTTACCTTCAGGAAGAATGTAACGCCCCTAATGATCGAATCCCAGTTACAGTTGGTTATCTTACAGTTGTTTAGGGAAAAGTCCACTCTAAACAGTCATATCAGAGTTTCATATGGACCATAATCCAAAAGCAGATTTAAGTTACAACTAAAAGAAATAACTTAAATCTGTTTTTGAGATCCAACTATGGAATTCCGCGTTTGATTTGACACTTTTCAAGATGGCGTTCTCTTGCACTATGTTGTGTGGCAGTTACCAATAGTATTTGTAGTGCGACGCGCATGCGCATTAAACATGTCGTAATACACAAATAAGTACAAATAAGATCTGGATTTCTCTTCATCTAGAAGCGTCTTCTTCCTTCGAGTATTTTTACTGCAAGTTGTCGTAGAGTATATTTATATCACACACGGGAAGGCCTTCAAAATATATCTTTAAAATATTCTTTGACGATCTGTCGAAAACCCTGAAGTGATATAAATGAAAGTAAATAATTTACGACGTGAGAAGTAAATTTCAGTGATGTAGAAAAGCGAATGGCAAACCAATTAATAATTTGGTCATTTGATTGTATATTAAAATTGAATTATAAAGTAATACATGTAATGATGACTCAACTTCATACCTTTACTTTCACTTTGTATTCAGGAAAGAGCTGCTGTTAAAAAAGGAGGGAAACGAAATTTTGCTTCCATTTTCAGTGATTATAATGAAAATCACTAATATAAATAATTGATACAAAATGACACCATACATTACTTTACAAACAATACAGTTGTCGCTAATGGCGTTGTTTGGTTTTCTTTTATTCCTGCACTGCATTGATGGTTTTACTGAAACTATGTAAAATCCATGCTGCTTGTGTCGTATAGATAACGTACAAAACAGAGCTTTGATTCATCATTCATATCTTAAACAGCAGAATTTAGCGCAAGGAAACTGTCAGCTGGAGCTTTGTTAATTTAGAAGAAATAGAATTTCACCCAATCGTGAATTAATGTTACAGGGAAATATTTTAATGATTTTGATAATTACAGTCAAATGATAAACTAAACACCATCATACAGCTGTTACGTTCTTCAGGATCTCTTCTGTGAAGCAGCGAACCTTATTGAAACTGAAGACTGGAGAAAATACAAAATAGTCTAATGAAATGTCAAAATTCAGGTCAGGAGTGTGTGTGTGTGTGTGTGTGTGTGTGTGTGTGTGTGTGTGTGTGTGTGTGT